TACCAAAACCTCAAAGTGAGAAAATCCCTGCCGAGCTAAGGAGAGGGAGCTGGTGTTTAGCAGTCAGCCCTCACTGAAGATCTAGCGTCGGGCTTCTGGAACATTCAGGCTCATGCCCTGCCCCCTAGAAGACAGGGACCATGCAAGCCTGTCACCTTCCATGCCCCAGTTTCCCAGCTGAGCCCTCATGCCGGCAGCTCACTAATTAAATCCAGGGTTTGATATTTATGAAAGAAAAAAGAAAGAGCGCATGCACCGACTAATGATTTCCACAAATCAAGGAGGCTGCCACCAGGATCCCATAATCAGCCTGCAAGGGGAGCCTGCTCATTAGTGTCTCTGGCTGCAGACGCGTGATTATTCAGCATTAGTCATTCGGCCACACCAGCGCAGGAACACGAGGGCAGGGACGTGCAATGTGTTCTCAGGGACCCGCCGGTGCAGGGGAAGCCCACGCCAGGCCGAGGTGCCGTTTGGGCGGCACTGACATCATGTCACGCCTCAGTGAGCGAGACCGCACACGGCTGGTCCCCGTGTGACAAAGGGACGAGGTGGAGTCTTGACGTTTCCAGGTCAGGGGGGAATTTTCCTCTCCCACCAAGAAACACGGACGCTTCGGGAAAGCCAGGCTTTCTGTCTGAGTCGGACGCTCGGGCGCTGGTCCGCACCCCCTTCCTCTCCAACTGTGAGTGGCAGGGAGTCCGGAGGCCACAGCCACCGTCAGGGAGGGGAGAGTCGAGGGCGGAGAAAAGGCAGCTCAAAGGCCAACAGTGGCATCCCAGCTCCACCCCCCCCCCCCCCCCCCCCACGATCTTCAGACAGAGAAATTCAATCTCACCGAGTCCCGAGTCTTCTAGCCCAGGGGCCGGGGCCAAACAAGGGTAACTGCCCCCTCCCCACCCCCTCCCCGTCTAGGCTAGAAAACATCTGTGACTTAAACCTGAACAATGACAGCCCAGTTGAGGACTGTTCCCTGCTGCCGATAGACCAGTCGGCTGTGATGCTCATCAGCATCCTTGGAGATCACTTTAGTGCCAGCTGACTTCAAGTGACTGACGCTTAGACTTGGGTCTGAGCCGGGCCTCCAGCAGGCACAGAGCAAGTCACAGCCCTGCCCTTGAGACCATTTTCTTTCCTTTTCTTGGTTTTGGGGCCACGCCCAGCAGCTCTCAGGGCTGAGCCCTGGCTCTGTGCTCTGGGGTCACTCCCAGTGGTGCTCAGGGCACTACACGAGGCGCTAGTTCTCAAATCCAGGTCAGCCCTGTGTCCAGCAACCCACCTGCGGAACTGTCTTTCTGGGCCCCAGAGGAAACCCCTTCTTCTGAACAAGTCAACAAGCCTCGCAGGCAGCCATCACCCCGAGCCCATGGCCCGATTCTTGGGGCCTAATTGGGGAGAGGAAGGGAAAACGCTCAGCCTCAGAAGTGGGCTGATGTGGTTTCCGACTCCCGTCCCACGCGTTTCCCAGGGGCTGCTGAACCAAAGCATATCGCTGGGCAGCGGTCAGTGGGGGCTTCTCCTCCCCCCGCCTTGTCTGCAGCAACGGCCGGGCCCCAGCCACCAGACCCAAGGAGAATTTTTTTTTTTTAAAGAAGATGCTTTGCAGCAGTGACTTCATCGGCTAAATTAAGTCGTGACGAGCTGCTGCACGGGGCTTCCAGCAGCCATTAGACCCGGCACGTTCCAACGGCAGCAGAGAGGGACTTAAAGACGGATTTCCCCACAGACGAACAGCAGCAGCAGGCGCCTGGCTTCGCCCTCTCCTCCCCCTCCCACACGGGCAGGATAAAGGGCAGAGCCGCCACCCTCCCGCCCGACGCCAACAGAAGAACGCGTCCTTCGATGGAACCCGAGGGAAAAGGACTGGAGGGACCGCAGGGGGGGCCGGGGGGAGGGGGCTGAGGACACAGCACTGGGCACCACACACAGGACTCTGGGACAGATCAGACGGCGGATGGGCGCCTCTTTCTTTCCAAGTTTGGAGGAATATATATATATATATATATATATATATATATATATATGTTTGCTTTTTGGGTCACACCCGGCAATAATCAGGGGTTCCTCCCAGCTCTGCACTCAGGAATTACTCCTGGCAGTGCCCGGGGGACCCTATGGGGTGCCGGGGATCGCACCTGGGTCAGCCACGTACGAGGCAAATGCCCTCCCGGCTGTGCTCCCGCTCCGGCCTGAGAGGAGGAGCAGTGCATGAACCGGAACAGCAGTTTCTCTGGTGGTGCCTGTTTGGCTGCCAAGGCAGGCGCTGGTCTCTCTCAGCAGGCCCCCAGCTCCAAGGCACCGCTTCCTGGAAGACGCTCGTATGAGCCACCCCTGCCTCCACTTTCTTCTTTAGATTCCTCTTCTCTGTGTCTTCTCCCTCTTATCTAATCCTGGCACACTGCTCGGTAGCTTTCTAATCTGCTTTCTGTCCGTTCTGGTGGGCTGATATTGCTGATTTTCTTCTTCTTTGGGGGGTCAGTGCCAGGGATCAAACCCAGGCCCTCAGGCACGTGAGGCCTGTACACCCCCGCTGAGTCCTGGCCCCAGCCCCACAGTGGGTTTGGGAACAAGGCAAAGTAGAAATGAACGAACCACATTGGGGACACACGGTCCCGCACAGTGAGTGTTCTCATGGAGACAAGGGGATTCTGGATTACTTACGTTAATGGAACTTAAGCAAGTTAAGTCCTAGACACCTTATGATGTATAAACCCAGGCCGGAGGGATAACACAGCGGGGAGGGCGTTTGCCTTGCACATGACCGACCTGGGTTCGATCCCCGGCATCCCATCGGGTCCCCTAAGCACCGCCAGGAGTCATTCCTGAGTGCAGAGCCAGGAGGAACCCCTGAGCATTGCTGGGTGTGGCCCCCAAAAGCAAAATTTCAAAAAAATGTATAAACGCTTTGCATCTGGAAAATGCTCTGTTCTTGCCAAGCTCAAGGCCACTGGTGTCCCTGGTAACTGGTTCTAAGGAACCCAGACACTCCCAGTTCATGTCCCCAATTTGTTCTGATAAAAGGGCTCCCCAAATCCAGCAGCAGGAGAAAACTTCGAAGATAAAATTAGTTTTTCTCAGGGCTGAGAGACAGTACAGCGGGTAAGGTGTTTGCCTTGCTGGCAGCCGACCCAGGTTCTATCCCTGACACCCTATATGGTCCCCCAAGCCCCACCAGGAGTGACCCATCAGTGCCAGGAGTCAGCCTGACCACTGCTCGGTGTGTCCCCCACAACAAAGAAACAAACAAGATTTTCTCTAACCTGAAATGCACATTCACATTACTTTCGAGCAGGGTGGACTACAAGCAACGAGCGTGCATGGCCGTCCTCCCAAGTCTCCCACATCTAAGAGGCTGGCTGATGGAAATGGGGAACACATCCAAGATGAATCAGAACGAGCGAGGAACCCACGCAGGAACTGTGTTCCAATCAGCCGTACTGTGCCCTGCCCCCAGGAGGGGGTACCCTAACCAGCGGGCTGGTGTGCCCGCCCGCTTGGCAGGTACAGCATTTTACGGCAATGAATGCATCTTGGTTACTCGTCATTAAGCCTCATTCAGCTTTCTCAGCCCGAGTCCAGGTCCCCCAAGCAGACTTCCAAGAGAAACGGGGTTTTTAAATTACTTGCCAGTTGGGCAAACTAAGCTCTCAGAAAGAACTGGAAAGCCAGGTTCCTTCTAGGTGGGAAGAAATTAAAAAGACTGCAGTGGAAGCAAACATAAGACAAGAGGCAGCAGAGCCTGGCCTTTGCTGGAAAAGGAACACACCCAGAGAAGGGCCCACTGTGATGATGGTGGTTGGAAGTGGTCACTCTGGACAAGAACAGAGTACTGAAAGGAGTAACAGGATCTGCATAATAACCTTTCAGTAACTACTGCAAACCATAGTGCCTCAAAGGAAGACAGAGGGCGGGGGGGGAGGGGGAGGGGGAGAGGGAGAGGAAGAGGGAGAGAGACCGGGAAAGAGACAGACACAGACACAGAGACAGAGAGTTGCGAGAGGCAGTTGTGGGGCATGGTGGGGGAATGGGAGGAGGGCAGGAGGGAAATTGGGGACATTAGGGTGGAAAATCACACTTGTGAAGGGATGGGTGTTGGAACATTGTATCACCTAAAATCATAAATAATTTTGTGACTGCATATCTCATGGTGGGCTAGAGCAATAGCACAGTGGGTAGGGCGTTTGCCTTGCACGCAGCCAACCTGGGTTCGATTCCTCTGTCCTTCTCGGAGAGCCCGGCAAGTTACCGAAAGTATCCCGCCCACACAGCAGAGCCTGGCAAGCTACCCATGATGTATCTGATATGCCAAACACAGTAACAAGTCTCACAATGGAGACGTTACTGGGCCCACTTGAGCAAATTGATGAACAATGGGAGGACAGTGCTACAGTACATATCTGATGGTGATTCAATCAAAAAAAAAAAAAGGAAAAAAAAACTAACATACTATAAGAGATCCTGATGTCCACCTAAGGCCAGAGCTTGGCAGTGAGGAGGGTTGGGGGGTGGAGGGGTCCTAGAGACAGGGGTAGAGAGATTCTGAAACTCTGGGGTAGCCACACCATTCCTGACACATGAATAGTATTATAAATCACAGTGATGTTAAAGAGGAAAAATAAAAGTATCACAAATGAGGTGAAAAAGAAGAGAGAGAATGGTAGAAATACTGCACACAGCAAGATACGGAAGGTCACCATTACTATCAGTGTGCTAAAAATCACTGAAAACTAAAGCAGAAGACCCAGGCACACAAACGGTCTTCGGCTGAAATTAAAATCCAAAATGGCAACTTGAAAAGGAGCAAAGAAACACAAAAAAGACCCAAGTTTTCAAGACGCTATGGAAAGTTCTGGCATCATCCACTGATGCCATAGCAGTCCAATGAAACTAATGCCTGTGCTGGCCAATTTCCTGCCCACCGAACGCCTCTCTGGGCCCGCCTTCCTCCCTCAGAGAGTCTAAGGCAGAACCTGCCGGTGGCCGGGCGGCCCGCAGCCTACCGTGAGTGCCTGGATCTCCTCCTCAGCTTCCGCCGTGGTCTCCTCCAGCTCCGTCTTGGCCTGGCGCAGCTGGCTCTCCAGGGCTGCGCGGGCCGCCTGCAGGGCCGTCAGCTGGGACTCGCGCTCCTGCAAGGAGAGCTGCAGCTCAGTGAGCTGCCGCTTCAGCTCCAGCTTCTGCTCCTCGTGCTCGAGGCTGACCTGGGAGGGAGAGAACACTGGCTTTGGGCGCTGAAGGGACAAAGCCAAGAGGTCACTGCTGCTCAACCCGGCCTCTTCCTTTTTCTTCTTTTTTGTTTGGCTTCTTGGGTCATCACACCAGATGATGCTCAGGGGTCACGCCTGGCTCTGCACTCAGGAATCACTCCTGGCGGCGCTCGGGGGACCCATGGGATGCCAGGGATCTGTCCTGGGTTGGCCGCATGCACGGCAAAAGCCCTGCCCACTGTGCTATCGCCCCGGCCCCTTGACACGGCCCTTGAACTTGGACATGGACTCCACGTCTCAGCACTGACCCAAGGGGTGCATCGGTGACAGGACAGGCAACAAAGCAGGTCTGATTCCGAGTCTCAAAAGTGACTGGGAGTGAGAACACGGAAGAGAATGTGTCCCTACGAAGTGCTCACAAAGGCTCCGAAAGGAAAAACACACAGCAGCCATCTCTGATGGAAATGACAACAATCACTCTTAGTAGGAAGAGCATTCAGAAGTGGATCAGAATCGAGCCTCCCGAGCGATAGGGACCACCTGCACAGTGCTGACGCGAATGAAACAGCAGGCTGGATTCCAGTGACTTCTTTATATTCCTGCTCTGATCTGGTTCTCATTAGGTAGCCCACACGAGTGTCCGCACGAACTGATCACTGTTCCCTCCAGCTGCCCATCGCTCAGTCCAAAGAAGGACTCAGCAGTTCCTGTGCAAAAGGACCACGAAAGCCCGGCTCTGCCTTCACGCTGAGGAGAAAGCCATTCAGCTGGGGTCAGGATCGGGGAGAGGGGGGAGCTGGAAAAGAAGAATGGGTATGGCGGGGGGGTCTCACTCTGTGTGCTTAGACATCTGTGCGTGCAAACCAACACTGTGTCTAAACAACAACAACCAGGAGCACAGGAATGGATAAGGCAAAGGAAACTCCACGCGGAAGCAACAAGACGCGCCCCCACGGGTGCGGATGATGGGGTCACAAAGGCGCCAGGGCCGTCCCAACCGGGTCAGGGGTGATTCCTGCCTTCGGAGAGCTCCTGGCGAAGAGGGTCCGGCCCAGACGTGCCCGGGGTGAGACGCAAACAGGGAAGACCCTGGAGAGAGGGGACACCCACCCAACTGGAGAAAGCTGGGGACACCCAGGAAAACCACAGCGGTGAAGGGAAACTTCCCAGCGATCGCACCTAGAGAACCAACAGCTTTTAGGGATGCTTTAAGGTGGGGTAGGGGACCAAGGACGAGCGGAACAGCAGCGGCTTGTAAGGGACCACGGAGCGGGGCTGTGGGCATGTGTGGGGAAGCCCCGCAGAGAAGAACGAGACATTCCGAGCTGGGAGGGGCACGCAACCAGAAACGTGGAACTCCTGCAGGGACAGGGGTCAGCAATGCAGGGCAAAGAAAGGCCGGTGTGAGCCTGGTGTCTCTCGGGGGCTGCTGCTGGAGACACGCTGACATGCGGACATGCCCGCGCTGGCCACATGCTGGGCACTGTGCCTGGTCCTACGAAGCCCAAGGCGGGTCGAGAGCAGCGCGAGAAGGTCTCCCCAGCAGGACACAGAGCTGACGACCCGAGGTCTGTCTCCCGGGAGGGCTGGGGGCTAAGCAGGCTCCAGCCCAGGGCAAGGGGACACGTGAACTGTGACTGGCGGGGGCAGAGGGAGGGACAAGCTCTGCGACCCTCACCCACACTGTGCCCCGGGGCCCTGCCAGCCAGGAGGGTCGCCCTGAGGCTGAGGCCTCTAAGCCCTCTGGAGCGGCCCAGGGCAGACCTGCAAGCCCCTCACTCAAAAGCCCGACAGCCCCTAGCCTGAAGCTGCCCCTGGGCTGTACTTCGGCAGGGAAACCAAAGAGCAACAGGCACCCCCGGGGCAGCTTGATCGCCCTGATGAGCTGCAGCCACAGGGCGCCCAGGGCAGGGAAGCCTGGAGACAGGTGGCGCGCCCAGGCTCGCGGCGCCCTCGGATGCGCCCACACTCTCACCCCAGAGAGATGCCGCCAGGTTAGGCAGAAGCACAGCCTGGCCAGGAAGCACGGCCTCCGGAGGCAGTCCAGAACTGGGCTCTCAGGCTCCTCGAGGGCAGTTTAAGGAGCACTGGAGGGGGGAGCCAGAGCAATAGCCTGGCGGGGAGGGTGTTTGCCTTACATGCGGCTGACCCAGGGCCAATCCTCGACACACCCCCCTGAGCACTGCCAGGAGTGATTCCTGAGTGCAGAGCCAGGAGGAACCCCTGAGCATCGCCAGGTAGAACCCAAGGAGCAAAAAAAAAAGAGGAGGAGGAGGAGGGGGAGGAAGAAGAGGAGGAGGAGGAGGAGGTGGAGGAGGAGGAGGAGGCAGCAGCCGAGGAGCCAGTCAGGTGTGACCCTGAGCACCAGGTGTGCCCCACAACCAAAAGTAATAAAATAACATGGAAAGCCACCCCCACCCCTCCATCTAAGACCCTCAGGCCTGCGTTTCCACACAGACGGGCTGGCGGGGGGGGGGTGGCGGTCTACGACAGGCAGTACCCCAAAACATAAGCACCTGCCATTTGTCTGTCTTTCGGGGGCTCTTGACTATATTTCAATGCTGGTTCGATTAAAGCAAATAACACCCAGACAGGAGAATTCCCCGAGTGCATCCTCAGACCCCTCTCAGCAGAACTGGCTTATCCTTGCAAGCCCGCACCAGCTCTGGGCAGCCTTTTGGTACCGCTGGTGAGCCCTGATGCTGCCCAGGGCCCAGACAACCCACCAAGGGCCTGTCCCCTGATGGCCCCGGCAGCGGAAAGGAATGGTCCACTTAGCTTTTTGTTTGTTTGGGGGCCACACCCAGTTGGTGCTCAGGGCTTCCTCCTGGCTCTGCACTCAGGAATCACTCCTGGTGGTGCTGGGGGAACCTTAGGGGGATGCTGGGGATCGAACCCGGGTCGGCCGCGTGCAAGGCAAGCGCCCTCCCCACTGTGCTATCGCTCTGCCCATAGCGGGCAGGAGGCACTGAGCAAAGTAGGAGCATGTGCCTGGGTCTTCAGCATCTCACTCACCCTCCATCAAACGAGGCCGACTCCTCCCCCAAACCCACGCAGGTCAACCAGTGAAGCCCTCCCTAACACCTGAAGCTTAGGTGGGGCAGGAGCCCAGCTGGGCCCATGTCCCTCACCCACACTGCGCTCGGCCCCTCCCCCACGCACCACCAAGGGCCTCCCTGGGAGCAGTGGCCACCTCGAGAGGGGGGCGCTGGCCTGAGGCCATAAGACCCCCGAGGTGCCAGGAGGAATGTGATGCCTGTGGCCCAGCCTGTGGGCTTCCCCGAGCCCAGGGGAGAAGGAAGTGGCCCCCACCTGAGGTGCTGGCTCAGAACACCCCAGACAGAAGCCCTAGACGAAGGAGGGTCTTGATAGCCGCCACCACCCCCCACCCCAGGTGCAGCTTCCTCAGAAGGGGGTCCGACTGGTGGGTGAGGAATTCTCTTTCCGGTCGGTACCAAGGTGCTATTTCTCATTTCACAGAGGCCAAAGGAGACCCTCAGTGTGCGGGCCCCCAGCCCCCACAGGAAGGTCACCGCAGATGGAACAGCCCCTTCCCCATCAATCCTGCTGCTTTCCCCGCCCGTAAAATCCCTTCTTGGAGCAGCCTGGGGACTGTGGGGCGGGCCCCACTCTCTCTGGGCACTGCCCAACTCACAGATTGCTCGGAAGGGCCAAGCTGGCCTCCAGAGTGCTCGTGACCGGAGTCGGGGGCAGCAGCACGGCTGCTCAGGGTGCAGAGACATGCGGGGGCCACCCCCCACCCCGTGCACCCTCTCAGGAGGCGGCCCCCCACTCTCTCTCACCTCCCGCAGCCTGGTCTCCAGCTCCAGCAGCCGACTCTTGTCAGTGTGGTCTTGGTGGCTCATCTTCTCCAGCTGCTCCTCCAGCTTCCGGTTCTGGGCCTCCAGTTTCCCCGCCTGGGTCTCCAGGTAGAACTTCTGTTGCCTGAGCTCGGAAATCATCTCCTCCTGAGCCTTCCTGGGGGGCGGTGGCGGGAACCAAGCAGGAGCGGAGTCTGGTTAGAAGCGAGCCCGGAGCCGCAGGTGACAGAAACCCCGAGAGCTGCGGTCGTGCCCAGCAGAGGGACGGGGGAACCCTGAGGCTCAGTGCTCAGTCTCCTGGGGGGCGGGGGGCGAGTATGGCCCAAGGGGTGGCAAGAGACGCCACCACTTCACTCCTTCACATTTCACGCGACAGAACTTCTTGGGGGAGACTGGAAAGAGATGTCCTGAGAGCACAAGTGGACCCTCCCGACTCACTGAGGGGCCTGTCAGAGAAAGGGGGGCAGGGCTGATGCTTCCTGGCGCTGGAGGCCTCACTCGCCTCCCTACCCAACAGCTCCCAAGTAGCAGGAACCGCACTGACCCAGGGGCCAAAAGGCAGCCTGCTCCCGGGAGAGACTTCTCAGGGGAGGAACCACAGTCCCAAGGATGGTCGTTCTCTGGGGAGCAATCAGAGGGCCCCCGGGACACAGACAGTCTTGGCTGAGCGCACGCTTGCCCCCCCAGGACCCCAACTTGCCTAACTGGATGGCCCAATGGGGTACCCACAAGGTACCTCGGGCTAATTCCTGGGGCTGCTACAAAGAAGTGCAGCTCTCCACACATAAACTAGAGAAAGAAAGCATTCTGAAACCCACGGCCATTTGAAACATTTGTTTCTTTTTTCTTTTTCTTTTTGGCTCACACCCAGTGGTGCTCAGGGGTTACTCCTGGCTCTGAACTCAGGAACCACCCTGGCAGTGCTCGAGGGACCATATGGGATGCTGGGAATTGAACTCGGGTCGGCCCCACCCATTGTACTAGAGCTCCAGCCACCCATATGAAGCATTTAAAGAAAACCCAGCTCAAAAGAAAGGTCAGGCCAGACTAGGCCCACTAGGGTAAGACCACTTAACACAGGGCCAAAGCCGCGAAGGAGACTGGGCCGGGGTCCAGTCTGAACACTCACATGTTCCTCTGAGTAAAAAGACTGCTGTTGGCTGCAAGTTTATTGGCTTCGGACAATTCCACGATCCTCTGCTCCAGTGACCTGATCTTGGAGTCCATGGCATTGATCATCTGGAACACAGGGGACACTCGTCATCTCACACAGACTGCCCCACCAGCAGTGCCATAACGTAGGCTGCGTGGGCCAGGGCAGGGCGAAGCTGGATCTGCCAGCAACTAGGGCAGAGGGAACAAAGACAGAGTCTGTGGCCTGGGGATCCGGGGGGGGGGGCTTGCTTCTGTGTTTTGCAGGGGTATGGCTACGCCTGGTGGTGCTCAGAGGCCCGTGTGCAGAGCCGGGAATGGAACCCAGGTTGGCTGCAGGCCAGGCAAGTGCCTTCCCCACTGTACTACTGCTCCGGCCCTGGGATCAGAGACTTCGCACGCACACATGTGCCTAAGAGGGTAGCATCCAGAACACAGGGACCTGGTTCTGTGTGTAAACAGAGGTCTGTGACGTGCGTGCGACAGCCGCCTATGTCCTGAGCCCGCACAGGCCTTATGTCCGTTCCCATTTTTCCTTGCCCACAGGGTCATCACTTTCTCCGTGTGAGTCCTTCTCACCCGGCGACCACTGTCCTAGATTCTCTACATCAAAGTCTCCCGCATGGAATGACTCTCAGGACTCTGGGATGCTGTTAAGTTAAAACAGAACTCTCTTCACTGCCACCCCCACCTTGAGAGTCTGTGGTGGAACGAATCATGGGGGTCCTGATAGAGATTACCAGACCCCCAATAGGCGCCCCATCTGGAAAGAAGCTAGTGCGTTAAGCCAGGGGTGCAGAGGGGAATGCAGAGTTCCTGGGCATTGGGAAGGGTGGGGTTCTAGTTGATGGCAGACCAGCGGGAGTCCCCAAAGATGAACTTGGGCACTGCAGAGATTAGCAGTTAGTAGGGCCCTTGCCCTGCACGCAGTCAACCCGAGTGCGATCCCTGGCTTTACACTATGGTTCTCTGAGGCCTGCCAGGAGCGATCCCTGAGTGCAGAGCCAGGAGTAGGCCCTGAGCACCCATGGGCCCCCAAACAAACAAATTTAAAAACAGACCAACTTGAAAGGCAAAACTGGGCACTGGGAGCCACCACCACCTCTGCCCTAGGAGAGGAAGAAGGCACAAAGCAAACGGTGCAGAGGGTTCGAAAGGACCGAACGTATAACACAGCCCTGGACACAGGCCCTCCTGGGAGTGGGGTCCCGGCGCGGTCCACACCCAGCCACAGCAAACCACCTCGGCCACTCCTTATACCCACCGCCTTCTGCTCGCTGAGAATTTTGCCTTTCTCATGGGCCTCTTCCTCGTGTCTCTGCATCAAGTTCTCCAGGGTCTCCTTATCCGCCAGGTCTTTCTTGATCTGATTGTCTAGCACCTTTGGGAAGCAAAAGAGGAAGTCTGCGTCCTTGTCCTCCTTTGGGGGACGGAGTTGAGCAGGGCGGACGAGCCCAGGTGCCTGCCCCGGAATCACGGGGAAAGGAAGGAGGGAGGAAGGCGGCAGGGTGGGGAGGCCGCCTCCTGCACAGGGAAAGATGAGGGGGTCTGGGAACCCGCCCAGGGGAACTGCGAAGCTTCACCACCAGGCGTTAGCGAGCAAGTCGGGGCCCTAGCACTGAGAACTTATCTTAAAGGCAGCAGACAAAAAGACCCCAAGAGCTAGGCAGATGGGGGGCTGGGCTCGGAAGAGGGGGACAAAAGAATCCCTCTGGCGATCTTCAACTCGGTCGTCTATACCTGGGGCCAGCGTTATAACGAGGCACCAAATACACCGTTACTTTCCAGAGCCTTGCTCCCTCCGAACATCTGCAAAATTCAGACTCTGGGCAGGGGCCGGAAGGGAGGCTGCATGGCCAAGTCTGAGGTTTGGACCAGCCAGGGCCAGGAGAGTCCTGCTCCCCATGGAAGTAGGTGGAGAGCTGATAGCTGGAAACAACAACATAAAAGAAAAGCCTCTTTCCTCCGTTTCTTCCTCTGATCCAGCTGGGGGGGAAAAAGTCACTGGAAAGATAAACCTTCTCCAGGGGAGAGAAATCTTATGTTCTCGCCTGGTACTGAGAACACCATTCTAAGTACCTACTGTTCCCAGGAGGAAAAAATAAAATGAAACAGTGGCGGTGCCAACAGCCCCTGGCTTGATCTAACATCCCGCAAGGCACACACAGCCCGACCCGTGGCCCAAACCACAAACGCCAAAGAAGGAAGAAAGGAAGACTTCAGAGCTGGCCACGGCTTTGTCCAGGCACCGGTGGTGCTGGCCACAGAGCACCCACCCTGCTTTTCTGGGCGACTCCCACATACCTCTGATACTGGGGGAGCTCAAAGGAGTGGGGTCACAGGTGGGACTGAAATCTATCTCCCCCACAATGTCTACTGTGAAGGGGGCCTTCGTGGCTCACGGGGCCATGGGCCCGAAAAAGAGTCCGTCCACAGGGAGGGGGTCCACAGGGCAGAGAAAGGAGAGAACGGATTTCAAAGAGGGCTTTAAACTGGAACTGGTGGATGGGAAAAAATAGGAGAGTTGGTGGAGAACAAAAGGTGAAGGCAGGGTCGGGGGAGGGAGGCGGCTCAATGGTAAGTGGCCTGTTCGCTTGGCTGTCAGGGCGCGAGTCTAAAATTACGAACAAGAAAAGGCTGGAATCTAGGGTAGGATCATAATTATTCCCGAAACGACCTCAGAGAGGCTGGAACAGTACACCCCAAGCAGGGCAGGTCAAAAAAGAAAATATTTCAGCGAGAGAGAAGAAAACAAACCTTTCCCCAACAGTTTCTCGGGTCTATAAAAGCCCATTACACCTAACAGAAGCAGAGGGGCTGGAAAGACAGCACGGGGCGTTAAAATGGGTGTCTTTTGCAACGCCGACCCTGGTGGGATCCCCAGCGCTTCACAGGGTCCCCCGAGCACCACTAGGAGTGATCCCTGAGCACCACTGGCTGTGACCAGCCCCCAGTAATAAAATAAGATCCCATAACATCTCATCCCACTTAAAAAAAAGGCACTAAAGGAGTGCAGTGCATAGTCAGATTGATTCTGCTCCAGCCAGACCCAAAAGTTGGCAATGGTGTGGGTCAGAAGAAACAAACCTCTACCAGACATGGGCACGTCTAGGCTTTGATCAGGTGACCTGGCAGAAGGACAAACAAAAGTGATTCAAGGAGAAAAGCCAGGAGTTTGAAAAGACAGGCGCTGTTGTTGACAGGCGTCAATTAGAAACAGAACATGGCGGGCTGGGGAACAGCAGACGATTCGGGGCCCGGCTCGCATGTGGCCGGCTGGGATCCAGGCCTGGCACTGTGCAGCCTTCCAAGGGTCACTGGGTCCAGCCCCGGAGGCCTAGAGCACTAACCTGCCGGTCTTGTCACCGGAGGGCCAGAGCAGCACCGCACCCTCGGGCCCCAGCCGGGGATCAGGGCCTGCTCGGCAGAGCCTCACCACAAGGGGCCTCCTGGCCTCCTGGGAACCGCTTGAGATGTCCCCTCCCAGCCCCCCTTATAGAAGGAGAACTCAGCTATTTTTGGCGGGAAAGCCAGTTTCATTGTGCCGATCAGAGAATGGGCACACGCAAGGGGTCATTTTCACTGTGCAGAGGGGCCGGAGGCCGCCTGTGCACATTCCCACGATGTTCTGAAAAGTTCATGTATTTTATTGATTAATTCATTTTTGGCTTTTTGGGCCACACCAGGGAATGTTCAGAGGCTCCTCCTGGCTCTGCATGCAGGAATTACTCCTAGTGGTGCTCGGGGGACCCTAAGGGATGCCGGGGATCAAACCTGGGTTTGCCGCGTGCAAGGCAAGCGCCCTCCCCACTATACCATTGCTCCAGCCCAGAAAGTTCATCTATTTCTAAGGGAAAGAGTGAGATGTCACCGAGAAGCCAAACCACGAGCACTAAGCAGACAGACAGTGCTCTGTGTAAGGGTCACGATGGAGTACTCTGAGGTCACCTCTGGGTTGTCTCCCTGTGTTTCTTTTCAGGGAAAGCAGCCAAAGTGACACTAGGAGCAGAAGACAGTGACCATGCAGGTGGAGGTGGTGATGCTGCGTGCAAGCGGGTCCATGCATGCACCTTCAAGACACTGATGGGCCCAGCCCAGCCGGTAACGAGACCATCACGCAAGTTAGAGACTTGTGATGCTCAATGCCCGATTTGGAAGGGGAAAGAGACGCTGGTGAGATGCTATTCCCGATGTCCAATTTTCAAGACCCTAAGGACCAAATGAAAGGCTTGGGCCAATGTCAGGATGAAAATGTGGTGTGGGGCTGGAGTGAAAGCACAGCAAGCACAGAGGGTAGGGCATATGCCTTGCACGCGACCGACCCAGGTTCAGTTCCCAGCATCCCATATGGTACCCTGAGCACTGACAGGAGTAACTCCTGAGTGCAGAGCCAGGAGTAACCCCTGTGCATCACTGGGTGTGACCCAAAAAGAAAAAGAAAGAAAGAAAGAAAGAAAACGTGGTATGATTTTCAAAGGGAAAACACAGACTGGTACTCATATTACTGTATTAATAACAACTGAACTGAAGTAATTTCAGTAACTGGGAAGATGCTACTGGATTTAAGATGATAGCCACATTTAGACCGGGTACTCTGAGAAACATGAATTAAAAAGTTAGATAGAAATATGGAAAACCTTTTATCAAAGGGACCTAAAAGTTGGTAGGAAAGTAAGAGATTACAGAGTAAAATTTAAGTGAAAGTAACAATCTTAGAGAGATAATAGGGGCCCAAAGCTACGTGGCCAGGGGGCACACCCAGTGGGGCTCAAGAATTACTCCTGGCTCTGTGGTCAGGGGTCTCTCCTGAGGTGTCGGAAGACTATATTGGAGCCAGGGATGAAACCAGGGTTAACCTGGTTAAGTGTCTTGAGCCCTGTGCTATCTCTCCAGCCCCTACGTTTAATTTCTGAAAGCCTCAAGGGGTCAGATGACGGAGAAGGCAAAGCCCGGGGCCACGCCTTGACGTATGCACCCATGTTCATTCAAAGCCTCCAAGAATCACCACTCATCATCTCCCAAGAATGACCAGTGGACAGCGACACAGGTAGACATGGGTGTCATGACGAAGAGCCAAGTACATGGAACAGAAACAGCGCAAGAAACTCAGACACTGGAATGACGAGCCACACCCTAAAACATCCATGCTTACTGTCTGCCAAGAGAGCAAAGAAATGCTTTAAAATGAGAGTAGGGGGAAACATCTAGAATCTCAAACGACCTGCTCGCGTGTTTCTGACCGTTGCATACTTGCCAATCACCGCTGTTGAAAATCACTGTGTGAAGCATAAATACCTTTTCCACAGAACAACAGGGAATTGGTGAACTTATGTTGGTCCACTGGACATGCAGTTAAAACCACTAATCTAGTAACTGAGAAAAAAAATGAAACAGAATGTCTAGAAAAAAGTAGCTGAAATTTAAAATTCAGCGGTTGTGGATTACATAGGTAAGTTCAATCAACTAGAAAACCAACCTGAACCTACCCACAGTGCAGCGCCTAGAGACAAAGAAACGGAAAACATGCAAAAAAAGGCTAGACTGGAAATGATCTCACACCCACCTCATCCAATTCTCAAAAGGAAAGAAAAGACAAAATGGGAAGAAACAACGTTCAAGACAATTCCCTGTGATTTTCCAGAATCAGTATCCACATGTTCGATACCAATATGCTAAAGTTGGATACAAAAAGAAACGCCCACCTCTAGACACAAGGTAAAGCTTCAGGAAGCTTAAAGCTGGTGCAAAAAAAAAAAAGAAAAGCCATCAAAGAAAAAGGACTGAATTGCTTCCAAAGGAAATAGCACGCCGGGAAGAAGGCCGGCTTCTCTACAGCAATAATGAAAGCCAAACCCACAGAATGATATTTTCAAAGCAGGCTACAAGAAACAAGTGCCAATCCAGAATTCTATCCCCAGTCAAAGCATTTTTCTAGAGTTAAAGGGGACGATGCTGTCAAAGAGAACAGAGAATTTCTGCTGAGACGGAAGAGAGTCCTCCAAAGTACACTTTAATCGAGGGGCTGGAGCGATAGTACAATGGGAAGAGTGCTTGCCTTACATGCGGCGAACCCAGGTTTGATCCGTCGCATTTGGTATGTCCCCCACAAATGATCAGGAGTAATTCCTGAGTGCAGAGCCAGGAGTAACTCTGAGCATCTCTATCTCCAGGTGTGACCCACCCCACCCCACCCCACCCCTGTCCCCAGCTTTAGGTCATTTGCCCCAATCAATCACTTGACCAAGCAAAAAGTGGCCCGGAGTGCCCAAGAAGAGAGAGGAGGAGCTGCTGGGGAAAGTCCACAGAGCATCTTACTTTGATTTTCTCCTCATAGTGCTGCTCTTTCTGCTTCAGGTGCACCTCGAGGTGCTGGGCCGAGACCTGGGCCTCCCGATGCTTCTCCTCCAGCTCCTGGACACGAAGAAAGAAGAGCGTCAGGTGTGCAGAAGGTAGGACACACACAACACGTGTGAGACATTCATAGAAAACAGGACTGAGGGCACAGGTGCCACACGCAACAGGCAGCTGTTCCTTCGTTCCTGGCACTCAGGCTCTGGCAGAGGAACCCCCTCACGGGGCCTTGGGCACCCTAGGAGGCACGCGCACGCGCGCACACACACACACACATACACACACACACACACACACACACGGAACCCCTCATGGGGCCTTGGGCACCAAGGGGACACACACACACACACACACACACACACACACACACACACACAGAGCTGTTGGGCTGCCAGTATCAGGACCAACAAAGACAGCTCTCCACTTCTGAATGGAGAAATTAGGTGGAAGGCAATGCAGGAAAAGTGGGCACAGAACCAGGTCCCTGATCACTCTCTGGGGCCTGCACCCCTTTTCTCTGCTAAACGACCTTAAAAAAGGAGCCTTGATTTATTTTACGTTAAAAGTCAAGTGGAGCTTAAGGTGATGATAAAAAAGATTTTGTATTTTCCCCATTAACAAAACAATCTCTCAAGAAGTCCCTGCCTTGGAAGGGGAACTAACATTACAATTTCCACACAGAGATTTGAATGATTTCTTTTAACTGTGGCTTAAAACTCTTGTAGCTGAGTGGAATGTAGAAGAAGTGAATATCTGGAGCTGTTCACAAAATATGTTTACATGGCGCAAGATTAATGAGAAGAAAGCAAAACATAAAATACACTGATCATGATGCAAATATGCAGGCATACATATTAAAGATGGAAAGAGAATTTGGAGTAATAAAAATAGCTCCAATATAATGTTCTTTTCCTTTATTAAGTTTTTCTGCTTTTAAATAAAATTTGTATTCATTTGAAAATTGTACCATTTCATCTGCAAGCTGGAAAGCAGCATTCAATTCAAGGGACATTCTCTAAATGCAGATATCCACATCGACATGAATTCTTATGAATCTGGGCCCATTAGTTAATTACTAATATCAAAAGTCATTACTCCAAGTTTTCATCTATTCACACTATTAGGAAATTTTTCTTTGAAGTGGAAGTAATTATGAGAATTTTGAAACATGAGGAAATTATACAGGATATGCCCATAAAATGGGGGGGGAATACTTTCAAATTCACATGCACATAAAATGGTACTGATTAAGCTTTTGAAATTCTAGTCTACAAGCATTGACGTTGCTTTGGGGGCCATCAGATGATTCCATTTTAAGACCAGGTGTATGAGATCTATTGCCGTCTCACAGATGTGGTCTTGAAAAGTGGAATATAAACAGGATTTTAATTAATAAAAACATACTTTAAGGGCTTTGTGTGCATAAAGGATCCCCCACCCCCGCAATACCTTTCTTTATCAAGGCAAAGAGAAAAAAGAGGCTGCTCTAATAAAAACCCCAATTACTTGTTTCTGAACGCTCCTACCACACCAGGGAACAGCAAATATTTTCAAACAAAGGACACGTGGGGGTCTGTTTCCACGCAGCAGTGTTATGTAATGGCCCTGAGGCCCATGCTTTGCTGTGTCCCAGTGCTCGGGCCCACGTGCAGGCTCCAGAGCAAAAGGCTCCTCTGCTCCGCGGGGTCACACGCACAAAGGCACCTGGGCGGGGGCACGTCATGCTCAGACAGAGGCATCTGCTTCCTGCTCCCTTGCGTTAGACATAAATTGGTTCTCATCTTGTCTCGGCCTCAGCCCTCATCACACGGGACAAGAGCGAAAATCAGGACGTAAAGATGGGCCCGCAACTCTGCTATCTCTGAGACCGACAACAGGAAGACCGAATGCCCGGACTCTCTGTGAATGAGGGGTCACAAAACAGAATGCAAGAACGCAGAAATCCGTTTCCCTGCTTCTTTGCGCAAAGGAAGCTGTGGAAAAGCAGATCTTCCACAAACCAACTGCTCGGTGGTTTGACCATTTTTGTTGTTGTCATTTTCCCCCATGTATCTTTTTCAATGTTCATCAGATCCAACCCTCAGTCCTGCTCCCCACCCACTGGGGACGGCTGCTATAGTCGGGGATCCCAGAAGGGGGCCTGGCACACTGCCAAGCTCATCAGATCTCTGTTGAATGAATGAATGCACACGTCACCGTCAAACAGAGAGACACAAGAGACTTAGCCACTTCGTCCGTTCCAAGCAAGGAATAGGGCTGGTGAGACCTCAGGGTGGCCTAATAGCACTCACGATAAAACTCACACACTTGACAACCGTCAAGAGAAACTGGGATGATGGAACAAGAGAACAGAGAGGGCGGATAATAGTCACACTGGCCCCCGTGTACAGGTGTAACCACAAAGACTGGGAGTTGGAGCCAAACAACGTGACCAATTTCTCTTCCACCCGCTGGTTCAAAAGTATCCATAGACTCATGAATATACACAAACACAGAAACGAAAAAGTGTGGCGGGTGGTCTGGTGGTGGTGTTGGGGCGGGGTGGGGGGACTATGGAGTACTGGCCTCTAAGCTGACCATGACTAAGTTCACATGGCTGTTGGTGACTCATTTCCCAGAACTGATGCAGAGAGAAAGAGAGAGAAAGAGAGAGAGAGAGAGAGAGAGAGAGAGAGAGAGAGAGAGAGGGAAAGAGAGGGAGAGGAAGGGAGGAAGGGGGGAGGAAGGGAGGGAAGGGGGGGAGGGAGGGAGGGAGTGGCCCTGGTCACCACCTTGCCTCCTGGATTGCTCAGAGTCCCTCCTGGGCACAGCAGGGAATCTCCCAAATGGGGCGTCCAATTTCCGAGGCCCAAGGAGAGTCACTGGAAGACTCACCTGCCTTTTCCCCTTGTGGGTGCCAACCTAGAACGTATCTGCATTGCCACCTTCCCCTCCCCCCCAACTAATTTGGTCACCAGAGCCAAAAAACAGAATCACGATGATTACTCACAGAGAGAGAGAGAGAGAGAGAGAGAGAGAGAGAGAGAGAGAGAGCTGCTACATTGAAGGAAATCAGTAGGGGGGGGAAATATTAATAATAACAGCCGACTGTAGCAGAGCAAGTGCGTGGGTGAGCACAGATCTATGACAAATACTACTTAGAGAAAAACAATTCACATGACTCAGTGCCTTCTCCTCCAAAAGCACCAACTCAGCTTTCAGTCTCGGTGGTCGGAGTCCCTAGCCCTGGCTTGGCTGGAGTGGCCACACACACTTCTCTGCCACGAGAAGCACGCCAATGCTCCCAGAAAAATGCATCGCAGATGACGGAGTACGCACATTTGCATCAAAAAACGGCAGGCAGCAGCAAACAGAGCAAAAAAATAAAAGATAAAAAAAATAACAATATCCATGGATGTGTTACCAGCGCTGAGACAGCCGCCCTTCGGCTCTGGATCCTAGTCTAGAGGCGGGACAGACACCGAAAACCACGGGCACCCGCGGGGGCCGCCTACCCGGGCCGTCTGTTAGCTTTTCCACTTTGCGGTCCTGCTCACCAGAATTTTATCAGCCATCTGCTGGATCTGTTGGGATTTTGTCTGGATGTCATCCTTCAGTCTGTTTTCTCTACGCTCCATGGTCTCTAGCCTCTTTACCTTGTTCTCCAGAGAATGGCGGCGTTCCTGCAGGTCAGGAATCAATCAGAGAGTTTTAATGGGGCGGCCGGCCTGCGGCCAGGGGGAGACGCCCTCAAGAAGCCCGCGGCGAGGCGGGAAGAGAGGTCTCGGCCCGCCCCGAGGCAACCGCGAGGAAGAGAAAACGCCCCGAACGGAACGGAGAGCACTGGGCCTGGAGATGACGCGAGTGTGGTCATTCATTCATTCCGACTCTGGTCGCGCGCTGACGACGTGCAGAGAACTGAGGGAGGCCGCAAGGGAGAGACCAAGAGGGAACCCCGACACAGGCAACGTGGGGCCCTCGGGAAAGAGCCGAGAAACGTGAACGCACACAGCACGCACGCGGAGGCGGGTGGCCACGACCGGCACAGAGGCACCAGGGCAGGCGGGGCGGTGGCAGCGGGGGGAAGAGGACTTGCAGCTGAGCGGGCAAGAGGGAGAGTCGAGAGACCCAGGCCAGGACGAGGCCCGGGAGACGGGGGCTGGGAGGGGGCCAGCGGCGTGGAGGCAGAATCCAGGAGATGGTCAAGAGGGGCTGGCGGCCCGGGGTGGCTGCAGAAGGAGCGCACCAGGGAGGAGCGGGGTGGGGCCAGCCAGGGGGAGCCCCCGATCAAAGGCTGAGAGCGTCGCGTGCAGGAAGACAGAGGAGGGCCGCAAGGGCAAGGCGGGCACGGGGTGCCGGGGAGCCCTGCCTTCCAGACCCAGGACGTGGACGCTGCTGGGCGAGGCAGGAGGAAGAGAGTGGCAAGAAAGTGCCCAGAAGGGAGCAGAGCTAAGAGGAAGAGGCCCTGGACGGCAGGAAAACAGCTCGGAAAATGGCCAGTGGGTAAGGACTGGGGGCAAGGGGGCGGCTCTCTTCACAGGACCGAGTGAGTTCCGGAGAGGCAGGGTCCACGCAGAGCAGATCAAGCTGAGGATTTGAGGCCACGGTGATGGGACCACCAAGATAAGCCGGATCGGTAGGAGGGAAGCAAGAAGGAGAGCCCGCCGGCCGGCGGGGAGAGGGCAAGCCTCATTCTAGAGGTGAGACCCAGCAGCCGGGAGCAGCAGGCCAGCCTCCCGCCTGGAAGGGGGAGCGGAGACGCAGAGGCCCCGGGCCCAGGAGATGACCCCACGGACCAGCATCCTCTGCTCTTCCCCTCGGTCCCCAAGGACAGCAAGAGGCCAGCGTGGGGGGGGAGGGTCCCTCGCTGGCCTAGATGCCTCAGTACCCTGTGAGCGTGTGACAGTTTCCTGCGGCAAGTGAGGAGTGACCGCTACCCACCACGATGACAAAGAATCTGAGACCAGGCCAGGCCCCATCCCAAGTGGAGATCGGTTGGGGGGTTCCCTGACGTTCTGTGTCAGCGACCGTGCGGGGGGAGCCCAGGCACACAGGGCCTGGCAGGAAGGACAAGAACCCATCGGGGGATGCAGGTCCAGCTCCTCTCTGGGAACCCCCCACTGCCCGCCGCGGACCGGCTGGAGGCAAACGGATGGCGGGGACAAGCTCTCAGCGGTGCCTCTTCCTTCAGGAAGCTGCTCGGAGCCCTCTTCTCGCCATTCCGGGGAAGGCCCTTCCATGCCTCCGAGGGGCTGCAGACAGGAGCGTGGGAGCCCCCCGGAAGGAGCTCACGGAGACTCATGGGTCCCACCCCAGGCCCCTGGCCGGGTGCAGGCCCCGCTCACCTCCGCTTCCACCAGCTTCTTTTTGATGCCTTCCGACGAGTCCTCCCGGGTCTGCAGCCGCTCCAGCTCACGCTCGGCACGCTCCTTGGCCTGGCGGATGTTCTGCAGCAGCTCAGTGGCCTCCGTGCTGGCTTTGACAGCCTGCGAGGAGAGACGGGGGGACGGAGTGCTGAACCGGGCCCATGGGCATGAGCACGCAGCCAGCCCCGGTGTGCCCCTGAAATCCCCATCTGCCCATCACCTGCTCCCCCAGCACCACGGACCAGGACAGCAAGAGGGAACAGAGGGACGCGGGCATGCAAAGGTGTGGTGATGGCCTTTGAAAATACAAAAGAGAAGAATCAGAGGGCAGGCTGGAGCTCAGGCCCCAGGGGGAGGAAAAAACAGAACCAGACATCAGGAGACACGGGGTCTATATAATATTCATTTCTCAAAACATGCAAACACCCATTGTACTCCCCCTTCCATCTATTCTAAGGTGCTCATACATATTCTGCTAATATTACTGAATCTGGAATGCAGCCCACAATTCAAGTTGAAAACACTTTTTTTTTCTTTCCTGGGGATATAGACAATAACCAGCACCTTAGATTCTACACATCTTAGATTCGATGTGCAAGAGTAAATGCAAACGAAAAGGTCTAGAAGAATGTATCTATCCAGCTACTGATGCCTTAGCCGTGCAGAGTAATTTCTCCTTCACTAATTTTCCTTTGGGAGAGGTGAAATACTTCTGCATGAAAACAAAATAAAAACTACAAAACATGTTCTCCCGCCCCCCAATAATCAGCAAAGAGCACAGGTATGGGTATCATGGCAACTCACAAATCCATGTTTGTTTCAAAAAAGAGCCAAAGCTTTTGCAGTCAGCTTTCATTTCAGGGTTTTGCTCTGTTTTTGTTTGTTTGTTTGTTTGGGCTTTTTGGGTCACACCCAGCGATGCTCAGGGGTCCCTCCTGGCTCTGCACTCAGGAATTACTCCTGGCGGTGCTCAGGGGACCAAATGGGATGCCAGAGATCGAACCCAGGTCGGCCACATGCAAGGCAAACGCCCTACCCACTGTACTATCACTCTGGACCCGATTTCAGTCTTAAGTACACTGGTAGTACCCAGAGCACCACAGCAGAGCACTAAGTGTCAGGACCAACAACTTCACTCGCTGCCCGCAATGAAAAACTGCGGGGGCAGGTGTGGAGGTCTTTGGGCCACACCTGGTGATGCCCAGGGACTTATTCTGGGCTCTGTGTTCAGGGGACCATGTATGATCCCTAGGATCAAACTGGAGGCGGCAGCTTGCAAAGCAAGCGCCTTAATCCCTGTTAGGTTAACTGAGGACTTTAAGTCCTCAATGAAAAGTGCTCACAAAACAAAACAAAAATAAAAGCCAGCTTCAAGACCAGCCCCCTTCGATATGGGAGCCACTTGCCATAGGGGACCGCTGAGCTCGTGAAACGTCGATGGCAAATCAATCTTTCGTTTGATTTAAGTTTGCTTCATGTAAAAAACAAAATCCGCGTAAATGTTTTAACAGAGATAGATACATGCTATCGGGATATTTTGCATATTTGATTGAACAAATTACATCATTCAAATAATTCTCCTTCCCCCTCTCCTTCCTTGCCCCCTCACCCCCGCGGTTCTCAGGGGTTACACTGGCTCCACACTCAGGAATTGCTCCTGGCAGGGCCTGGGGGAGCATATCGGATGGGGGGAGGGGGCAGAACTCACACCTGGGTTGGCCCTGTTCAAAGCAAGAGCTCTACCCATCATTGTGCTACAGACCTGGGCCCTGTTCTCTTTTTTTTTTGTTTTTTCACATGCCTGCCAGGAGTTCTGCATTAATCTGGGGCTGACATTTGTGGTTTGCATAATCCTGCGGGATGAAAACACGACTCCCTCAGGAGCTTCTCTGTGGAAGAGGGGGCAGACTCAGGCAAGAACCACAGACCGGGACAAAGAGGAGTGGCATAGGGAGGCCAGGGAGGATTAGGGGCGGCTGACTTCCTTCCAGGAAAGAGAAGGAAATCCGAAGGGCCAGGATTCCAGCTCAGTGGGAAGCAACTACTCCAGGTTGGAGGTCCTCCCTTAATGATGCTCAACCTGGGAGCCTGGCCCCCTACAGGGAGGGAAACCAGTCTCTCCTGGGCTCTGCTGGAGTATAATTAGAACTTTTACTTGAGAGTCTCACACAGCTTGGCTTTTAAAAATAAACACTGCTGACACATCTCAAAAGGAAAGGGAATATTCAAGAACACTGAGACTTCCAGGTAATAGCTCCCTCCCTCCGCCTTCATTCTCCTTGGTGCTGGGTGACTAATCCTTTTACTTTCATCTTGGTGCTCCCGGACAAGGCAGAGAAAAATAGTTGGGAAGGGGAAAGGCGAGGAGGGGAGTAGCCCCCCAGGCTGGCTCCAGGCTCACCTTTTCCAGTTTCTCTTGGAGCTCCTGAATTTTGAGCTGCTGCTCCGCATTGATCTAGAGGGGAAACCCGGGAAGAGAGCAAAAGGCAAATCAGCGTCAGGGTCCCAGGACAGCCCTGTTCCCTCGAGGTCTTTTCGGTTTGGCTTTTCCAGCTGCAACCGGTGGAGAAGCCTTGGTCTCCGAACATCGACCTCCCCACGTGCACCGCTGGCTCTTGCCACGTGAGAGTGGCAAGCGGGAAACAGAAGCCAGGCCCGGGGGGGGGTGGGGGGGGAGAATATACCGCACACGTTTCACTACAAGGGAAATCACTATGCGCAGGCGTGGAAACCAAACAACAGAAGGGGTGTCCTTAGCCCCTCTCAGAGCTGAGCTGCAGCTAACAGCGGCTGCCCAGAGGGCAAATGGGACCAGGAACCCAGAAGAACCCTTCTGTTTACTGCAAGGATATTCTCAATCAATGACTGGCCCAGTACCCAAGGGGGGCGAAAAAGACAGTCTTACAGAAAGCAGCAAGCTCAACCATGGAAAGTACCTTCTCCAGTTTGGAAAACTCCCCGACTTCAGGCTTCCCTGGATCCTTCGCCTATAATGTAAGAGACACGACAAACTGGGATATTTCAGACACTTTACAGTGAACCCCATCTGCTTGTACTTCATGGGTCTCCGGGTGAAAACAAGGATGACGAGCTATCCCTGGGGAAGGGGGAAAGCACAGCCAGAGGCAATCAGGGCTGAGTCCTGGCTCTCTATTCAGGGATCACTCCCGGGTGTCGAGACTGAGCCAGAGTCAGCCACGCACAAGGCAAGCGCCCGGCATGCGTGCTAGCTCCCCACCCCATGAGAATCTTGGAAAGTCAAGAGGAGGAGCTGTCCAGGGTATTCTAACTTTACACACACACACACACACACACACACACACACACACACAGGCACAACCTTCAGCAGTTTGTGCTGGCATTCCGTAGCCTTCCTTTTGAACTCTTCGGCTGCCAGCCGAGACTCTCTGAGCTCAGACTCGTAGAGGTCGCTCCGCCGCCTTGCAGAAACGAGGTCCTCCTCCAACTGATTCATCATCAACCTCATTTCTTCCACCTGAGCCTGGTACTCCTAAGGGCAGGCAAGGGGGGAAGGGGAGGGTCAGCAGGAGGGAGGGGCGGGCGCAGTGAAGAGACCTGGAGCGGCTGGAGAGGGGAGGGAAGGACATTAACGCTCTCGACGTCCCATGCACCATCGGCAACAGCATTCGGGAGGCACGGGGGGCTCTAGCGAGACCCTCTCAGCGTGTAATGGCACGCAGGAGCAGTAAGCACCAGCCCCTTCGGACCCTGCCACGGGAAGGAGAGAAACAGCCGTTCTGCACACAGCCCGGATAAACTGCTGACCGGGTATGCCTCCAAGGGTGATCATTCATGTGGATTTGTCCTCTCGAAGTCACATGCCCTTAACACAATCAGACACGGTGCTCGCTTTAAGATCGACATTTCAGCGGGCACAAGGTGGGGACGGAGGACTGGAGATCACCAGGGACAAGAATCCTGGAAGGGGAACTTCATCGTGTCCTGTTTCTTACCACTAACTTTTCTGGGCCCCAAACTGCACGACTAACATGACATTGTTCCTGAAATGCAAGTCACCCTGGGATTTGGGAGCGGCAAATAACGCAGGAGAAATACGCTTGCCCCCTCCAGCCGCCCTGCACAGGGTCCAGACCCCTAGCCTGTCCTGGAAAGAATCTCTAAAACCAAAATGAAGACTTCAAATCAAGCGGTTTTTGTTATTTTTCAGTATTATTATTATCATTTCTCAGAATTCGATGTCCCAGGAGAAATAGGCATTGGCTTATAAAACTGGGGGGCCAAAGGTGAAAATATGCTTTGTTGGCAAAATCAGAATTTCTTTGGCCACAGCTCAGGACCACAGATCACCTAAGCAGCCAGGCTGGATTTCTGTGGATAAGGGTTTCTTTTTTCGTTCTTTTTTTCCTTCTTCTTCTATTATTATTTTTTTCTTTCTTAAAAAAAATTTGGGGGCCACACCTGACTGTGCTCAGAGCTTGCTCCTGGCGGGGCTTAGGGGACCACATGAAGCCAGGGATTAAACCAGGGTCTGCTGCATGCAAGGCAAACACCTGAGCAGCTGTACTACCTATCCAGCCCTCGCATGAGGGTTTCTTTGGGTTTCTAGGAATAAGACTTTCTGAGTGGATTTCTTCAGATTATGAGACTGACGCGCTGCCTACTGCGATGAGTCATAGCACAGCGGGTAGGGCATTTGCCATGTAAGCAGCCAACATGGCCGACCCGAGTTCGATTCCTCCGCCCCTCTCGGAGAGCCCGGCAAGCTGCTGAGAGGATCTCGCCCGCACAGCAAAGCCTGGCAAGCTCCCCGTGACATATCCAATATGCCAAACACAGTAACAAGTCTCACAATGGAGATGTTACTGGTGCCCGCTCCAGCAAATGGATGAACAACGGGAGGACAGTGACAGTGACAGAGTGGATTTATACAGACAAAGGTTATGACTGATCACTGATCCAATCTTAGAGGCTGCAGTTACAAAGTGAAGCTGATTTAAAACTTCCAGTTTTTTTTCTTTCCCCTCTGATTAAAAATAAACCAAACCGCAAACCCCACAAAAACCAAACCCCTAAACTTTCAGGGTCTCTGAAAGGTCCACTGGTGCTGAGCTTAAAGGAGAAGCCGGCCCCCTCCAACCCATGGGGGAAGCCAAGAGCTGGAAGGTCCTCTTGGCCATCTCCCCCTCGCGGGCTCCCTTTTCTTTCATGCTTAGGTCAGTAGGAAGAGAGAGCGTGACTTCTTGCTCACCCCCCCAGCCCCCCACCCAGTCGAGGGGGAGGCCAGGCACAAACAACAGCTCAGCCCCTGGCCCACTAAAAGCTCCGGAATCAAATCCACCTCATTGGCTGAGCCGCAGTGATCATGCCATGAACTTCAAGGAAATCCTATAAAGCCAATCACTAGCCTAATTCCTTGCTTCAGGAAAAACCGGGCAGCTGGTCGGTTCTTGCCCTGGACCTAATGGGTTGCAGGTAAGAGCCAAGGGATCGGCAAAGGGAGACGGGCGGGGGCCACTAAGCCAAATTCAGAGACCACCTAGAGCAAGTCTTCCGAGTGGCACTTCGGAATCTGGGGGTGGGGGAAGGAGCCGACAGGGTCCCATCCAATCAGAAATCAAGAACGGGTTCTGCATCAAGAACGAGTTCTAGCATCTCCCGACTAGCTTCCCTGCCCGAGGTAGGGGAGGGTGGGCGAGGGGCAGGCAGGGAGTCAGCGACCACCAGGATGGCTCACGACCCAAAGGGGCGCGACAGGCTCCCGGATGCCTTTATTCTGGGGCAAATCCAAATACTTGCTGGATTAAGCACAGCGGCCGAAAATAAATTAAGTGGCTGAGCAGAAAGGAGCTTCAGAGAGAAAAGGCTAGGGAACAGACACCGAATCTGGCGGAAACCAAGACGCCGCACACCAACACCACAAGTCTGCGGAGGGCACGAGCGCCCTTCTCCCCTGAGCTGCCAGCATCCTGTGCCTACCAAGAGTCCTTTTTAATAAACCCTCCTGATGAGAGATAAGGTCTAAAATGGAGAAGTTCTAGAACTTTTAGCGTCGCCAAATCCATGCCACCAGCTGTGATATGAATCACAAAAGACAGCTCTGTGAACTCAACCACCGGCTTATTATACCTTTTCAAAACGCCCCGGCCCTGTTTGGAGGGAATTCGGGAACACCAGCGGCTCCCTCTGGTGGCCAAACACGGCTTTCATTTCCCCAGGACGGCTTCAAAAGCAAATTTCCAAACACTTTTCAACAGATGGGGGGAGGGAAAAAAATCCTACCTCTTGAAACTCTCCGGATGAAGGCTAGGCTGCTGTTGAAAAAAGAGGCATGGATCGCCGGGCCAAGGAGAGGTCCGACTTCAGATTCTCTGACATTAGTGGTGGCATTCAGAATCAGGTTACAATGTTTCCTGGGCATGTATATTGCAACCATTTGCTTTTCAAGCAAGAGGACCAACTATTTTTAAATATGAAAGTGGCAAATAGATCATGCTGGCAACCATAGTCATTCTACCCTCCCCCCTCATCCGCACCCCCCCGCCCCCGCCATCCACTCATATACCACAGCACTTTCATTAAAGACCAGGGAATGGAGTGAACTATTTGCAGGGTTTGGGGTTGTTTTGGGGGGTGGGGGCTTGGGGCCACACCCGGCAGTGCTCAGGGGCCTAGTCCTGCACCCAGGGATCACTCCTGGTGGGCCACCTGCAGGAAGAGCACCTACCCACTGCACCTCTGGCCCTGCAGGTGTTTCTTGCCTCAGCACCACCCAGGTGGCTCTGTCTACGGCCCCAGAAACAGAAATGTCCATTCCGGCCAGTGTTTCCCTCTGAAATGAACCAGTGCTGCCTGGCTGCCGAGCGTGGATGGTTCGGCTCTGCCATCGCCCACTGCCAGCCCTGCACTCACGTTTCTGAGAACTCAGAATTTCTTCAAAGGACCGGGGAGGGTGGGGGTGAGGGGGTAGGGAATCCATGCTAAAATTGCAACAACGAGGCAAATAAAAGTGAACCATCTAGAAATAAGGCACTTCTTGGAAATGATGGGGCGGGGGGGGGAGAGAAAGGGGCTATTTTTAAGGTCCCAGTTCTCTCTTGTGGACACATCTGGGAGGGTCTCGTCTCAGATTTTCTGGGTAAATTCTAAGTCAGCTTCACGCTGCTCCCACACCACATTTCTCCACATAGAGAAAACAATGCATCATCCTAGCTGCTCTCAAACACTACGCGTGCACCAGGAAAGCGATGGAAAACACATTGCCTACAGATTCCTTGTCTAATAAGAGAGAGACTGGCAAACTTTTGAAAAAAAAATTCTCTTTGGGTAAACAGCTAGACTGGAAGCCACGTTAGCTCTGCAGAGCACACGCAGGTCGCGACTCACCCCTGCCTCTCCGCGTGATGCTCGGCCCGCGACGGGTCCACGGATGCGCCTGGCCGCGCGCCCATCCTTGGGGCCTCTAAGTTCCATCTAGTGGCTGCATGGCACCCTCGCTCTACGGCCGCTACTTCCCCCCCGCCACCGAGAAAGCGCTGAAGCCATCCTCGGCGCGGTCACAGACAGCGTGGCGGTGGGTCAGCCAGGCCCCCCAGGCCTGAGTCTTTTTCCCAGCCTTGCCGGAAACCTCCTCCTCTCCTGACAAGCGCCGCTGTGTCTGGGAGCCGAGCCCCGAAAGGAGCGAGCGCCGGTGCTCTGTGGTTTATATAAATCACGGGCAGTCGGAAGTTTCCAAGTGACCTACATCCCTGCTCCCCGCCGGCCCCGCCCCGGCTCTGCCTCTCGCTCCTCCGGCAGCGGGAAGGTCTGCGCGGCTCCCTGCTCCCGGGCGGGCAGTACCTGCTCTTTGATTTCCTGGAGCTTCCGGCTCTGCTCTCTGATATCGTGGAGAAGCTGCAGCGCTTTGTCATCCTCCTGGGACACCTCCATCCGCGCCTGCTCCAAACTTCGCTTTAAGCTCTGTGGAGAGCAAAGATTTTAATAGGGATGCCCGTGGACGCCGCTCTGCTGGAAAAGGCTCGTTAAAGGAGCGGCCAGCTGCTCGGCGGGCACCACGCCGGCTTCAGGCGACGGGCGGGCTCCTGGGTCCTGGGTCCGTCCTGGAAGAACGCTGGGGACAAGAAGCAGCGACTCCGCCGGGGTGGCGGGACGGCCGGTACTTACTCGCGTGCGTGCCTGGGACGCTCCAACGAGGAAGCGCCCTCGCTGGCCCTGGCCAGCCCGCCTGGACGGCTACTACAAAGCCTGCCCTCGGCCAGGGGTTCCTGGCGGGCGCTCGGAGACTCTCCCTGTCACAGAGCCCCTCCCCACCCCTGCTCTGCCGTCACTTAAGAACCTCCTGGCCCCTCCTGGCTGAGGGGGCCCGGGACCCTTTCGTCCGGAAGGTGCCCTCAATGCCTCAGGGGCACTGATGGGGGGTCTGAGACACACAGCTGAATAGCTTCCGCCGACGTCTGGAACGGAAGCAGAGCGGTCATTCTCAGTCAGCCACGTTCTAGAGGGGTCTTCCCTCATGGGGGGCGGTGGGGGCTGGTGTGTGGGTGTGTGTTGGGGGGCACCTGGGAAAATGTGTGATTTAACTTCTTTTATGACTCCTTTAGTCAGGCATGTTAGGAAAAAAAACACCCAAATGAAAGTTTTTCACGAGACAATGGAAAAGACAGTCTACTCTTGAGGAAAGGGAGAGGGAAAAAAATAAATAAAAGTCACATGGCATGTGATGGCAGCGGGTCTGGGCTTCTGGGGCTGAGCCTCCCTGTCGCTGCCCAGGGTCTGGCGGGTGGAAGCCCCTTCCGGGAAGCGTCAAGACCTCCTCTTTGGCTCCCAGCGGGGAGGGGTGGCCCTGGGGCCGTCGGGGACCGGACCAGGGCACAGCGGGCAGGGCGGGTTGGGAGCCGGCGGGACCTCAGGCTGCTCCAAGCCAGGCGGCACCTGTGGCGGGCTCTCGGCCCGGGGCTGCCCGGCCTCCCCTGGGGCCCCCTGGCTCCTGCGCCTGGGCCCTGGCTCTGTCCGCCCCATGTCCGGCCTGCGGACTCGCCCTCTCTGCTCCCTGCCCTGGGCTGCGGGGGGCCTCGGGGCGCCGTCATGAAACAGGATGAGACACACACACAGGACGGGCCGCCTCCGAGGGACGGGGCGCGGGGAGGCTCACACTGCATTCTGTGATGTAGGTGGCCAGGTCCTGCTCCAGGAGGGATCGCTGAGTCTCAGAGGCCTTCAGCTCCACCTCCTTCTGACTAAGCACAGCCTCCACCTCTGACACTCTCCGATGTAAGCGGGTCATTTCCTGCTCCATCTGAAACAGACACACGGGCGGGTTAAAGGGGGCCCCCGAGCGCATCGGAGTGCAAACACAGCTCGGGGGGCGGGGGGCGCCTCCACGGCCACCTGGTGGCTGGGCTGGCGCTCGGACGTCAGGCACGCCGCATGAGGGGGTGGAAATACCATTGTTTCTTCGCCCGGGGGCACACGGTTCTTCGTGAGGGCGGTCACCAGGGCTAAGTCACTCCTCATTCACGTCTTGGTTCACGCTTGGTCACTTCTCTACCCCGTGAGCAAGCAAGCCACAAGCATCGTGTTTTGTTTTGTTTTGTTTTTGTTTTTCACCTGTTGGCTTTGTGGGGTTTTTTGGGGGGCGAGGGGAGGGGGCTTGTGGGTTTTTGCCAGACGTCACTCTAACTTTATCCCAAATCCATCTTGGTCTCCCCCCATCTCCTTGCAAAGTGCTAGAGGACCAAATCCAGGACGGGGAAGGAGCTAAGCGGGTTCGTTGCCCTCTTTGGTGTCCCCAGCAAGAAGTGCCTGGTGAGAGTTTTCGAGAGAGCGGCAGCCCCGGGCAGGAAGAGTGATCGATCGTTAAGAGACGCTGAGCATGGTCAACGCAGTGGCTGCAGGGACATGAGCCGGAGGCTTAAGAGACTAGGAAGAGAGACGTCTTCGCCTCACTCAAAGCGGACGGGATGCATCTCAGCCACGGGCGACGCCCCACGCCGCAGACATCGGGCTGGGTCATGCCGAGGACCGGGCCAGTTTTAAATCCAGATTTAAAGGGCTGCAGGCCAGGCCCAGGCCCGGCGTCATGGCCCTCTGGGCAGCGGAGGCTCGGGTGCGGACTTCCCTGGCTCCCCCGCTGGCCGGCTCACTCCGGTGGGGTCAGCAGCGGCCCCGGGCGGCAGCTCCCTCGGCATATATTGACCGGAGGTTCCTGGAGCAAGGAGGGAGGCCGGTGGCGGAGATAAATACCTTGTGGCACTTGTCCTGGGAGTCTTGCAGCTCTTTGCTTTTGATGAGGAGTTTCTTTTCCATGGAGCTAGTCTTGGCAGGGGAGTCCAGACCCGACACAACTGACCTGTGGAGAGGACAGTCAAGGTCAAGGGGGCCAGCCCGGGGTGGGGTTGAGGCGGCCTCATCAGGAGTCCACTGTGGCAGAGCAGGGCCTTCCAGGGTCCGGCTGGCCAAGTGGAGCCGGACCACGCCACTTCCGAGGCCACACAGGCAGAGGACACAGAGGAAGCGCGGCCAGGGGATGGGGACGGGGGAAGGGGTGGGAGGGAGAGGGCGGAGAACCCAGCCGCCCCACGGTCTCTGGGTTTCTGTGTCCCGAGGCATGCGGACGGTCAGTGAAAGGCTCTCGGACCCAGGGTAGTGGGCACACCGAGGGCGTGGCACTGAGCGGGCTCACTCAACACGCAGGGACGGTGCCCTACTCTGGTCCAGAAACGGTTCCAGGCGCTGGCACTGCAGAGGCAGACGGGACAGGCCCCTGCTCTGGGAAATGACCTGCAGAGGGCAGAGCGCCCTCAGGGAAGAATCCCGGGAGGAAATGAGCAGGGGGACACAACGAGAAACGCTCAGGGCTCCCTCGGGTGCACGGGGAACCATGGGTGGTGCCAGGGATGGGATCGGGCCAAGCTCATCCTTCTGCAAGGCAAGTGCCACACTCAATGTGCAAGGCCTCGGGTGTTCAGTGGAGAAGGGTGCTGAGGTGGGGAGACCAGCCCGGGTGACCGGAGCAGACCCAACGTCATCACCAGGATCCTTCTGAGACAGAGGTGCAGAGTGGGGGCAGAATGATGTGACTCAGAGGGGGACCAGCAAGAGCAAGGGGAGAGAGAGGCCGGGAGGCAGGAGGGGGTCACGGCAGCTGCTCACCCACGTCTGACCCAGATTCGATCTCTGGCACCCCACGCGGTCCCCTGAGCCTCAGCAGGGGTGGATCCCTGAGCGCACAGCCTGGAGTAAGCCCTGAGCATCCCATGGGTGGCCCGACACATCCCTCCCCCACAGAGGAGAGGGAGACAGAGAGACGGACAGACAGACAGACCTGAACAGGCTACTTTGCTCGCTTTGAAGACCAAAGAAGGGGGCAAGAAGCCCAGGGACTAGGTACTTCCGGAAAGTGGGGAGGGCCCAGAGCGTGCGGTCTGGCCCACGTAGTGATCTCGGCTCAGTGAAACCCGCCGGAACTAGGAGAGGAGATACCTGCAGTTCCGAGTCACTCTGTTTGCGGGCAGGCCACCGCAGCATCGGGAACTCGGGCGCTCCCTGAGCACCGTGGGCCTGTCGTCCCAGAGCAGGGCACGTCTAACGGCTCCCCACCACAGCTGCACAAAGCAGAGAGGGCGCTGGGTCCAAGAGGGAAGAGAGGCCCAGGGGGGGAGGGGAGCTACCGGCCAGCGAGTGGCTGCGGAGGCCAGGGTGAGCACAGGGTGAAGGCACGTGCCTTACGCACAGCCGGCCGGGGTGGGTGCAGCCCTGGAGGGCCCCCGGGGAACCCAGGTCATCCCCTGCCCAGAGTGCTGGACTCTCCTGATCCCCCTGCTGGGACTCACACGGAAACATAATGAAATCATTGCAACGTGACCCCACAAGAGTGGGGCTGGAGAGTTCTCCTGACCCCGGAAAGGAACGACTTAGCCCCACACCTGCCCCCTGGCATCATACCCCTCACACGTCCCGTCTCAGCCCCAGGTGAAGGGACTTCTGGGCAGAGATGACGATTCTCCTCCAGGGCAGTATATCTCAGTGGTTGGCGCCCTGGGCTCAAACATAGGCGCTGATAAAGGCAGGGCTGGAGACCACGGCCAGGGTTCCGACCCACGTGGGGGCGGCAGGGCAGAGCCATGGTGGAGCTGCGGTAGTTAGCTGCCAGTGAGTATTCATGTCTTTTCTTTTTTTGGGGGGTGGGGTGGGGGTCACACCCAGCGATGCTCAGGGGTTCCTCCTGGCTCTGCACTCAGGAATTACTCCTGGCGGTGTTTGGGGGACCATATGGGATGCCGGGGATCGAACCTGGGTTGCCCACAAGCAAGGCAAATGCCGTCCCTGCTGTACCATCGCAATGGCCCGAGTATTCATGTCTTACCTAGAGGTGCACGTTCCACTTCCTGCCACAGCTCAGACCACGACGCTGTGCCCAGCCAAGGGTGGTAGCCTGATACCAGGTTCCTGGGAAGCCCGGCACGCCCACACCCAGGGTCCAGCCGCCTCTCCCGCCCTCATTCACCCAGGCGCTCCCCCATCTGTGCAGCAGGAATCGTGCTCAGCTTTGTGGAAGAGTTCTCACGAGAACCCAGCGGGCCCGTGGAAGGCCCAGCGCACTGCACCAGGGAAGCCGTGAGGGCCCCCCCAGCGCCACCCGCTACTACTGCTGTGTCGATTCCATCCCCGCTGTCCCTGCCACGGCGTGAAGAGCACGGGCCTCCCAGGCTGGCTGAAACGGCAGCTCAAAATAGCAAAACTCAGGGGGCTGAGCTGGCTCTGTGCTATTATTCACTTGAAAACAAATGTCGATTATTCATAGAAATGGGCAATGGCAATTGAAACCGAGAAATAAATCTCCTTTGGGAATCTCACCGGGGGCTGAAAAGGCAACCAAGTTTCGAGCATCTCGCTCGCCCGGTTCCTGCCCGTGGTCGAGCCCGTCCCTGCTCCTTCTTCCCGTCCCAGCCGAGAGGCAAGGGGTCGCCTGGCATGGCCTTGAGGGGCTGGGGCAGGAGTTGGGTGTTTCTCTTCTGCACCAACGTCTTTCTGGTGGAGTGCACTGAAGGAGTTCCGCACATCCCCCAGAAGGGAGTGTGAACCGCAAAAGGGGTCCCGGAACCTTCAGGGATCCAGAGTCACCCACATGTCACTTTCCTGAGGCGCGGACCGCAACGGAGGTCACGTTCTCTGTGCCAGCACAAGCAGAAGGACGTGTCCGCGGACGTGGGATGGTGGGTGGACAGTCTGGCCCAAGGCAGACTCTCAGACGGAGGGGCGGAGCTGATCTAGGTCCTGCGCTGTCGGGTCCTGACCTGAGGGGCATATGTGTGCCCACCCACCCGCCCTGCTTGCCCCTCCAAGTCCAACTTCTTCCTTCTGCTATTTCGAGGCTTGGCAAATGTTCACTGTTTAGAAGTTCTAAGCATAGCAATTAGGAGCGCTTCAGAACAAAGATGCTAAAGAAATCTATTTCTTTAATTATCTTTTTAAGAATAAATAAAAACCACATCCGAAAAAAGCTACAGTGAGCTTGCTGTGGCTAAACCCAGCGAGGAGCCGATCCCACAGACAGCCGTGGGGGCGGAGGGTGCGGCCGAGGGGAGGGAGAGAGCACATCGCCTTTCTGGGGGGTGTTTTGGTTGCCTTCTGGAGTAACCCTGGCGATGCTCAGGGGTCACTCCTGGTGCTCTGGGGACCACGTGGGATGCTGGGGATCCAACGTACCCGCAAACCTGCAAACGCCCAAGCTGTCGTCCTCGTATCCGCTCCAGCCCCACCTCGCTGAACCTTCCCACCCGGCTGCTTGTGGGGGCTTCCAGGAAGCTTCCAGAAAGCTTCTTCATTAATCCAAGCACACAGAACAGGCCCTGCTCTCTGCTCTCTGGACAGTGATGTGCACCGGGGGGTGGAGGGGTTGAGGGGGAGCTGGAGCAGGGAGGTGGGGGCGGGGTTGTGCGTCTCTGGGGATGATGGTGGGATTGGTGTTGAATTACTGAGTGTAATAAATTATTGTGAACAACTTTATAAGAATAAAATTTGAAGAAAAAAAAGCAAAGAAAAGAAAGCAAGTCCCGGGCAGCCCCATTTTTATTAAGTTCCCAGGCGACTTTGATGTTTGGTCCGGATCGAGAACCCTGGAGTGAATTAGCAGTGCCCAAGATTGGGGGTCGAACCACTTAAAACTCAAAGGAGGACAGTCCCCAGCACCTGGGGCTGGTACCTTTGGGCCGTTCTTTGACTGAAGTTCTGAAGTTAATCATGGGGGCCTATAAACTTCAGGGCAATGTACAGGTGTCCAACATCGAGTGAAGACTGTTATTCCAAGTACCAGTTTTCACTCAAGTTCAACCAAAACATAGCATTCGCAAGAATTTCCATTCAAGAAAGGGAGAGAGAAGTCAGGGGCACATGCTTTGCGTGTACCAGGACTCAAGTTTCACCCCTGAATATCCTGAAGGTCCCTGAGTACCGCCAGGGAGGCCTCACGGTCCTGGCACAAAAGAGCTGAGCCTTGAGCAACCCATTCCACTTGACTGGGAGTCGCTGGGAGTGACCCCAGCCCCCCCCCCATTCCTACTTAGGAGGAAGGATAGGGAGGGGGAGAGAGGAGAGAGAGGAAGAAAGCAGTTCAACTTGTGTGTGTGTGCGCGCGCGCGTGTTCTATTTTATTCATGTATCTGCTCAGCCAATTCAATCACTAACACCCATGATATAAACGCTCATTGAATTTTTCTGGAGGGGACAGATTCCCCCAAATATTCTATTGCAAGTTATTCTCTTTTTCTAGCATTTTCATTAAGCCATCCTTCCACATTCTGGATGACAAGAGAGAAGCATTTACAGGCACGGCAGACAAAAAGGAACAGGGGCTACTGGGGGGGGAGGCAGGAAGCCCCACCTGGCTTGTTGGCCACGAACCCCAAAGCCTCCAGCTACCAGGTCAATCTGGAGCCACTCCACACCGCAGAGTGGCTCTTCCTCAAGGCCCCGTCGCGGGGTGGGGTGTGTGTGTGTGGGGGGGGGGGTGACTGACTGGGAAGCCGCACAGATTGGAGGGCTGAGGCTGGTTCATGCTCCAGGCTCGATGAGAAGCAGCACAATGAAGATGCTAATAAAAGCACATGCAGCCTGCCCACACATTGCTTTCCTACTCCTGGCCACCTCGCTGAGCCCCACTCAGCTGTCCCCAGGGAGAGAAAAGCCACTTGGGAGCCGCGGGTGCACACAGCCAGCACCCACACAGCAGGGCTGTCTCCTCCAGCACGCAGCCAAGTTTAGGGTTTTCCTCCCCCACCCCCCCCCACCACCCCAACTTCTATTTTCCAGAAAAAAAAAATAGAAAGATTGACCCTGAAATCAACATCT